TATATAATATATATATACACCAGTAGCAATAGCAGCAGCAAGGGAAATAGCAGCAACAGCAGCAAGGGAAATAGCAAAAGGAGAAGGAAGGGAAACAGCAACGGGAGAAGGAAGGGAAACAGCAAGGGGAGGAGGAAGGGAATGAGCAAGGGGAGGAGGAAGGGAAACAGCAAGGGGAGGAGGAAGGGGGGGGAGGAAGAGGAGAGGGAGGAGAGGCAGCAGCACAAACAGCAGAAACAGAAAGGGAAAAGAAACAAATTAATTATTCTTGCATAAGGAAACAAAGGATACCTCTAAGGGATACTATATGCATGCATGCATGCATGCATGCGTGTATAGTTGGCTGTTTGTGTGTATTTGTTATATGTGTGTAGGAATAAAGGGAAGGAGACAATAAATAAATATACGTATTGTATATATACATATATATACATGTATATATATTATATACATAATAATATATATTATATTATATATATAATAAATAATAATGTACATGTATATGTATATATGTATACAAGTATATATGTATATATTATAGTTGGGGCTTTTTAATTGCATGCATGCAACATACAAACAAAAACATAAAAGGATGAATTAACACCAACACCTAACCATAAACCCTTGCATGCATGCATGCATGTTGTTGCTGTTGCTGTTGCTGCTGCTGCTGCTGCTATAACTGCTGCTGCTGCTGCTGCTGCTACTGACCTTTACGAATTGAGGACGTAGGTGGCATGCAGGAGAAGAAGAAAAATTTATATTTCTTGCATTTCTTGCTGCAGCAGCTGCTGCTTCTGATTCTGCTCCATTTGCATGCGATGAATCAGCAGCAGCAGCAGGAGCACCAGCAGCAGCAGAAGAAGAAGCAGCAGCGGGAGCAGCACTAACAGAGGGGGGTGTGCGAATCTCTGGGTCTGTGCCTGCCTGGTGCTGCTGATGTTGCAACTGCAGCTGATGTTGCTGCTGCTGCAACTGCAGCTGAAGTTGCTGTTGCTGCAGCTGCTGTTGCTGCTGCTGCTGTTGCTGCTGTTGTTGCAGGACGAGATGGAGTTGTTGCTGCTGTTGTTGCTGCTGTTGCTGCTGCTGTTGGAGTTGTTGTTTGTTCAGCTGCTGCTGTTGGTGTAGCAGTTGCTGATGCTGGTGGTTTTGTTGTTGCTGTTGCTGTTGCTGCTGTTGCTGTTGCTGCTGCTGTTGCTGTTGCTGCAGCAGCATCGAGTCTCGTGTCAGTAGCAGCAAAGTGTCATCAGATTCTCTTTCGCCTGGGGCTGGAGGTGGCATCCTTGGAGTTGAAGCAGCAGATGCATGCATTTGAGCCATTTCCTTTTGTTTGCGGCTGCTGCTGTTGCTGCAGTTGCTGCAGTTGCTGCAGTTGTTGCAGTGTACAGACACCTGAAAAGAGAAGTGGGGTTTGCGGTGTATGACCAGCAGACAGACCAGGGGGGGCAGAGCAGCAGCAAGGACCAACGCGTTGCTGCTGCTGTTTTGTGTATAAAAGGAGTAATTATATCGATTAAACGATTAAAATAAAGAAGAAATAAAGAAATAAATCATTAAAATGAGGAAAAATGGCGAAATAGAGGCGCGTAAGAAAGAGAACTCTTTTCCTCCCCTCAACAAACAACGGCCTACATATATAGGCGCACCGATATCGAGTCTGCTGCTGCTGTCTGCTGTTGCTGCAGCAAACTAAGAGGGAAAGAAGAGCCTAAAACCTGTACAGAAGAACCTTTAATTGAATAACGAAATAAATGCAATGCTTAACAGAAGGAAAATCAAAAGAATCTGCTTAAAAGAAGGCAGCGCAGACTGGCGCTGGCTGGGGTGTATCGACACCTCAGTCAACAAAATCAGAAACGCCAACAAATTGTGCGTTTAAGGTGGATTTAAAGGCGCGTTAGAAAGCAGAAATCAAAAATAATTAATTAAAACCAACAAAACCCCAAAAATAATTCCTTTTTTGTACTCACAAAAAAGAATAATCCCCCTTCATACTGATGCTCCCCTTCGTGTCCTGCTTGCGACTGCGCCCCCCACCGTCCGCCGCTGGTGGCCGTGGAGGCCAAGGTGCGGACTCATGAGGTCCTAGGGGGTAAAAAGAGGCACAAATAAGCGTTTTTTAGTCAATTTTAATGATTTATACTTAAAAATATATTTAATGTCTTGTTCTTAAGGCTAATACGCGCTGTTATTACTCAAACAACTACCGCCTCAACCGTGCCCGCTGCCGTGACTCGGCGGCAGACCATCGTCTCGCCGCCTCCCCTCAAGTGCGACTGCGCGCAACAAAGCCTTATTTCTTCTTCTCTAAATATATAATTAAATTATTAATGAAATGCAGTCACTTACCTTTTGAGGCCAGCTTCTTCCTATACTTTCAAGTACCGCAAGCCGCGACCTCGGGGCGCGGCGGCAGCGGGCAACTGCTGCTGCAATACGGGGTCTACAGACAGCTAACAGGGACATTAACCCCTCTTTGCTTGCATTCTTCAAGCGCAGATATATCCTAAATGAAGCTAGTTGGCCTTGGGAGAGTCGCAGGACTCCTGGATATCGCAGCAACCGCCCTGGTGTGGGGCCCACCAAGGGCAAAGCGACTGGCTTCTGGGTGTACAGTACCTCTTTATGCTGCAAAACTTTGTTTTGTTGCTTTCAATTACTTTATTTTGCATGCAATGTAACAAGTCAAAAAGTTAGAGTGGCGAGATGCCCCTACAATTGAAGGTCAGGGGAGCCTAAGAAACCAACCGGTGTAGCTATAGTGGCTGCTCAGAGGTAAAGAGCTAAAAAGTGTCTACACGAGCCCTAGATACTAGCCTAGGGCTTTACAATGTCAATTTCTTTATAAGACTTGCATTTAGAGGAAGAGGCCCCAAGCCTTTTCCTCTGCTTTCTCCCGGCTATGGCACTTTGGTTCAGTGTCAGGGGCCTCGTAGAAGAAGTGGTGTGTGCCAAGCAACACTTGCTGTAAGGCATGGAGCCCTGCATGCAACAAAATACAGTCCCAATAACTTTTTGTGTTCTTAAAGCATAATAAGTTTCTTTGCAACCGACAATTTGCTGTGGGGCACCACGTTCACCAGGTGGTCCCTCTTGCAGAGTGTCTGGTCTTCTTGCTTTTTCCTTCCTAAGCGCTTTATTTTCGCATTCTTGTTATTCCCCTTTTTATTTGTAGGGATTATTCAGTTGCTTTTCGGTTTATTCTACAAGAAGACTCTGTTGTGGTGTTCTGCTTTCATGTTTGTCCACAGGGGCTGCTTTGCCATCAGCTGGGCACTGCCACCAACAACAGTAGCATCGGGATACTAACAGCAGCAGCAAACGTAGCAAATTCAGTTTCTCCTTCAAAGGAAGAAATTCCATTACCTTGAATATTCGGAGAAAAGTCCCCAAGAAGTCATTGATCTGCCTTCCGATTCCCTGCATCCTCAGCACCCCGCCACAAAGGCCGAGGCTAATCAGAGGAAGGAACAGCTTCTCGTGAGCTGAAGCTCACCCTTCTAGAGTTCCTCTTTCCAAGACCATTAAAAATAAAAGTATATTCCCTCCAATTGAAGCAAGCAGTAACATCCGCGTGCCCTGTGGCAACTGGCGAGCCTGCCCCACACCTGATAGCTGTTCCCTCTAAGCTTCTCTCCTTCTACTATTCATTGAATTAAAGATAGATCGAACTTCCCAAAAGCTGCATTTTTGAGAGAGCATCATGATGGAGTGCATGCACTTATCCCCATTCCCCACCAGAACCTCGGTACTGCTTTGGAGTCTTACACGGAGTTACGCCTTGGTGCACCGTTTCAGAACTTATTTCTCTGTTGGGTGCAAAAGCTGTCGCGAGCATATAGGAGCAAAATATATTTTTTTCCTCGCACATAGAAGTACCCTGTCATTTAAATATAAGCTTCCCTTGAATTAAGTTAATATTTTTTGCAGGTAGACTTTAGCCTAAACTCGGCGTCTTGCTGACATTAAAGAAATGCTATCCTATAGATTAAGCCAACGAATAGACAGGCAGTTTGCAGTTCATTGTTGCTGTAGATCTGCTTCCCAGTATCAAATCCTTATTTGCTACGGAGAGGCAATATGAGTTTGGGTAGGGACAGAGTTAACTGGAGGATGGCACCCATTCCGGTCTGCCACATTGTTCATCCGGGTGCCTGCTCAACTGATTGTCTTGTTCTCCGGTCGGGAATGCCAAATATTGTGCTATTTCAATTCCTTAGCCCTCTTCTTGTGTCTGCAGTCTTGGATTATTCAGGCCTATTAATTGCCTACATAGAAACAGATGTGCTGCTGGCTGCGTCCCCTAGATCTTCGGATAGGTAGCAGCGCCAACCACAGTAGTTCTCAATGATAGTGTTGCATGCAGATATAAATAGTATTAACATAAGAAGCAGATGGACATAAAACGCATGCAGAGAGTAAATGCAAGTATTCTACGAAGTATAACCATGTCCTGCATGCATGTAGCGTGAGCATGCACATTGTGCACCTATTATAAATGTGTACAATACATGCGTATAACATATGTGCAGTGTGTGTATATGTATAAACTACATACTATATATACACCTGGTGTATATATGTATACAAACAGATATATATACATAGATCTTAGCTGTGTACTAAGCTAGCTAGTTGCTGCTGTACAACGTGTACATATACGTATACTGTGTTTATACACACACAAATAGGATTGGCAATGCCAATTCTTTTATATAAAGGAATAAAGAAAAGCATTTTTATAATTTATTATTATTATTATTATTATTATTATTATTATTATTATTATTATTATTAACTTGCTGCTGCAGTGCAACAAAATATAATAAGTAAATGAATAACACCATCGATACACCGCAGACTTTACGTGTATAATGCTGCTGTATATATAGCTATTAGCTCACAGAATAAATTAAATAATGAATAAATAAATAAATAAATAATAATAGTTCTTAATTTATTATCCCTTTTTTATTAATAATGCATACAATCTAAATCCTGGTATTCCCCCTACTAAGGGGGGCCCACAAGGAGGGGCCCCCACCGCATGCATTGGGGGGCCCTTTTGCTGCAGTACCTGCTGTCTTGTGTGTTTTTTATTCCTCATTATATTATATTTAATTACTTTTTTACGTTTTCCTTTGTTTATTCTTTCTTTTTATTTATTTCTTTTCTTTTTTCTTCCTCTTTCTTACCATCCATTAGGAGGAGGTCTTCCCCTATTTATTTATACTTTTGTTGAATATCCGCTGTCTTTAGCTGTCTCCTTTTATCTCCTTTTCTCTCCTTTTTCTCCCTTTTCTCCTTTTGTCTCCTTTTGTCTCCTTTTGTCTCCTTTTGCTCCCCAGTCTCCAACGATCCCGCCTCCTCCCATCTATGCTGCTAGGAGGGCAGCAGTAAGTTAATATAAATAGTAGTAAATGATAAATAATAAGCAATAAATAAATAAGTAAATAAATAAATAATAATAAATAAATATAATATTTAATTATATTTATAAATAATAAATAATAATTAACTCCCTCCTTGTCTTACAACCGCCTCTTTCCTCCTTATTCCTTGCATGCAATGCATGGAAGTTGAGGTGTATAGGCAGCTCTTGCTACTGTCTCCTTGTGTCTCCTTCTGCTGTATGTTCTGCTGCTGCAGATTTGCTGCTGTCTCTCCTTAATAAAAATAAAATAAAATAAAGGAAGAAATAAAATCCTCATGTTTTCTTCGTTACGTGTCTCCTGTCTCCTCCTCTTATTAACTGTCTCCTTTTCTCTTCTTCTCCTTTCTCCTTCTTCTTGTATTATTATTACCAATAGACAGGCTGTCCCCTCCTTCCCTACAGCAGCAGCAAATGTACATACAGCACCTTCAGCTGCTGCAGCACTAAATCCAAAAGCAGCAGCTGCTGCAGCAGCTCCTGCTGCTGCTGCTGCTGCTGCTCTTCCTCTTGCTGCGCTGCTGCCTCCTAGTGCAGAACGACGCCTTCAGCTCTTTTCTGCTCGTCTTGGCTTTGGTCTGCTGCGGCGAGTAGGAGAGTCTCTTTTTGTCCTTCTGTCTCCTCGCAGCAGCAGCGACAGCAGCAGCAGCAGCAGCAGCAACAGCAGCAGCAACAGCAAGGAGGCTTATTACCCTGAATCTGTTCGTAGATTCTTAGAGGCTTGCTTAGTTTATTATGTTGCGGATAGAAGAGGGAATGTTATTCCTGCAATATATCCATCTGCGCATACCCTGCAGGTCCCTGCTGCTGCTGCTGCTGCTGCTGCAGCTGCTGCAGCAGCGGGTAGAGGAGGTGTTGTAGCTGCCTGTACACCCGGACAAGCAGCTTTATCTCTTTGTATATTCTTTATGGAGGAAGAAGACGCAAAAATATACAAAGAAAGCATAAACAAAGAAAACCTCCGCTTATTTATTCGTTGCTGCTCTCTTGCTGATGCTTACCCCTTGCTGCGGTACATACACCCCAGCGGTAGACAAGCAGCAACAGCAGCAGCAGCAGATGCAGCAGCAGCAGCAGCACCAGGTTGGATGGGATCTCTTCGTCGCGGCCTGCGATCGCTGCGACTGTCTAGGCTACAGGCAGCATTCAGCAGCAGCAGCAGCAGCAGCAGCAGCAGCAGCAGCAGTGTACAGTTTGTATTAATGCCTTCTTCTTCTTCCTTAGCAGAAGAATTAAAGAAAAAAAAAACATTTATAGGGACACCTATTTACTCCTTTTCTCCTATTGACTTAAGAAGAAAGCCCCATAAAAATAATGCCCTTAGGCAGCAACTGCAGCAGCAGCAGCAGCAGCAGCAGCAGCAGGAGGGTAGTGGTGGGGTGTATCGCCTGCACCTATACGAAATGTCTCCTGGTGTTTGGGGCTTTGCATGCAACTTTAAGGGAGAAGAAAGGAGTCCCTTTTTCTGCAGCAAAGAAGACGCAATGCATGCACTGCAGCAGCTGCTGCTAAGTGTCCCTTTTCTGCAGCAAAGGGACATCTCCTTAAAAGGAGACACATTAGAGACAATTATTAATTGTCTCTCTTCTCCTCCCTCCTCCTCCTCCTCCTCCTCTTCCTCTATACACAGCAACAAAGAAAAGATAATAAACACAACAACCCCACCACTACCCCTCCTACTACCCCCCTCCTCCTCTCTTCTTAACACAAATAAACCCTAAACCCTAAAAAAGGGTTTAGGGTTTATTATTATACAGAGACAGCTATCTATTGCTGTCTCTGTCTCCGTCAGCTACTAAACACTATTCTCCTCCCTCTCTGTCTCCTTTTATATACCCTGTCTTTTTTATTATTTATTCTTCCCCTCCTTTCCTTTTATTATATAAACCCTAATAAAATAATATTCTTCTTGTCTTTATTTACTATTAATACTCCTCCTCCCTGTATATACTAATTATTATTTTGCAGTGTATAGGCACCTCCCTACTACTACTACTATAAACCCTATACCCTCAGCAACATAAACCCTAGCCGTAAACCCTAAACCCTAGAAAAAACCATAAGACAAACAAATACACTAAAAAAAAATAAATATAAAAAACCCTAAACCCTCAATAACATGTATACACCGCATCCCTCGTGTATATATATACTATATAATATATAAATATATAATAAATATACTACATACATAAAAATACATATAAATAAGCTATACATAAATATACTAGGGAAAAGAGAAACTAACGACGTCTGCATAGCCATCTAGTACACCTTTATCTGCAGCTGTTTATGCATATACTACGTATATATACAGGCAAATTATATATGTATATACATACAAATATACGTATATAAATATACGTAAATATAAATATACAAAAAAGGACGATAACCCTGCAGGTATAGACAGAGAGGAATACACAAGGAAAGGGAGGAAAGGACAAGAAAAAAAAGCTGTATAAAGAAAATAATCCTTAAACGGAAAAAAAACAGAAAAAAATGGTAAATGGTGGCTTCTAGGGAAGCCTAAGATCAGTTGCTGGTCAATAAGAACAGCTCGGGTGTATAGACAGAAAAAAAAAGGAGAACTTGTATATTAATAATTAATAAAGGATGCAATTATACACCATCATGCTCTTATATATAGAGGCATGATGAAGAAAAAGAATAGAATACGTGTGTTGGTTGTACACGTCTGTGGGTATATATAGATGTTCCTTATAAAAGGAAGGTATAATAATGTATAAAAATATATATATTTTTATATATATAAATATAAAAATATATATATAATTTATACAGAGAAGTATAGGAAAGGATAAGAGAATTTAACCACCAAAACCGTACAGAGTGCGGCCTTGCCTCTTAAGAGAGTACACGATATCCATAGCAGTAACGGTCTTTCTTCTTGCATGCTCAGTATAAGTAACTGAATCCTTAATAATATTCTCAAGGAAAACCTTTAATACACCACGAATTTCCTCATAAATAAGACCGGATATACGCTTAACTCCTCCTCTACGTGCAAGACGACGGATTGCAGGCTTGGTTATACCTTGAATATTATCACGAAGCACCTTTCTGTGCCTCTTGGCTCCTCCCTTACCCAAACCTTTACCTCCCTTTCCTCTGCCTGACATCTTCAATAAGAAATACTTTTTTTTTATTAAGAAGGAACTTTGTTACACAGACAATAACAACGCCAACAACAACTGTAAGCGACAGCCTCTAAATAACGGTTGTGAAAGACTTTTAAGCATAATACATGCACCCAATACGCACCCTTTACCCTCCTCACCACGGGGAAGCAGCAGCTGCTGCTGCTGCTGCAGCTAGCCTGCTAGCACTGCAGCAGATACGGCGAATGCGGGGCCCGTCTATTCGCTTTCTTGTACATCACTCAACTAATACATCTATAAACATACACTTTTTTCTATTTTTTATTCCTCTTTTTATTCATTTTATCCAATTATATATATTCACTTATTTTTACACACTTCTAACCTAATCAATACATACACGCGTCTCTATACAACCGACTACCATTCGTCAGGGGAGGTGCTGCTGCTGCACCCTCACATGCGCTCCCTCCCCCCAACCTCTGTCTGTAGGTTGACCCAATTCTTTGCTATATTTTTTAATTTTAATCTAAAATTATTTCGTATTTTATAAGCAAATACGCCCAAATTTAAAGGATTAAAGAAGACCCACAAGTACAGCGACTCACACACCTACCTACCCACTGCAGTGCCCCTACCCCCCCCTAGTGCTGCTCGTACTTCCCCTCTACGTATGCAGCAGCAGCAACTTCTGTTGTACATTGCAGATGCTGCCGCTGCCCCTAATGTATTTAATTATGTATTTTTAAATATAAGGAAGCAGAAAATCATGAAAGAACAGGGAGACATCTAGAGACATCTATCTTGCGAGGTACAGCTAAAGGATGTGCCCGCTCCATTACACGGCCAGTGCCTTCGGCTACGGGGTTGCGCCGTTCCTTTGTATTCTTTATTTATTTTGAACTTTTAAATGCATAAATTGGATGTATATACATTTAAATGTGTCTATTTGCCTTTATGTCGTCCGTTGCTGCTGCGGGTTGCTTGGTTAAGGTGTCTTTTTGTGTATCAGTAGACGGTCTTGTGTTACAGTGACAGTCTTCGACCTTTGTGGGCAAACGTCATAAGCTGCAGAGGAGTTTAATAGTTTATATATAAAATTGTTATGAAGAAGTAGATGATTTACTTTCTACTACTCAAGGGTAGTAGGCGAGAGGCAGCAGGAGGAGTGGTTGGGATGGTGTTATAGGGGGCTAAGGGACGCACAACATTTTATCTTGTCCACACAAGCAAGGAGAGACATAACATCAACAAAACAGTCTTGCTGCATGCACTGACACTGTGTCTACACACCGGGTGGGTGCTTCCTTGACCCTCAGCAGGTGACCTGATGTACAGTATAAGTACGTTTACTGCTAAAGAAGGGAACGAAGAGGTGGAGGTGTGGTGCTGTTTCTTGTGTATATAATCACTAAGCAAGAGAGAAACACCACCACCGGCTAGCATGGGGGACACAAACTAGTGGGTGCAGTGCAGCACCATACACAGCTATGCCTGCAGCGATCTCCTGGCTGCTGTTGCTCCTCTGCGTGGTGAGGCGGCAAGCACCAGACGGTGCCTCCCTGCTGCAGTAGTACTTGTAGCTGCTACCCTGTCAACAGGACTTACCTCACGGCAAGGAGTGTAATGTACAGGGTATACGCCGCTGTTGCATGGATTCATGCCTGCGGCCTTTCTGCATCTGCAGCGACAATGGAGGGGGCCATCTACAGCTAAATCGCCGATAAGTCTAGCTGCTTTGCTGCAGCAAGAAAACGCTTCTCTAAAGGGAGCAGCAAGCAACAGGCATCCGTGTCGCTGCTGCCTGCACACCCCAGTGAAGACACTGGGGAATAACGAGAATAAAAATTAAATATCTGCCCTCTCCCAATGGGACTTTGTTGCTGGGCGTTCGCTTGCATGCTTGCATGCAGTTAATTAAATTGCTCCCCTCTCGTATGCATGCATGCATGCACTTACTTAAATTACTTCCCTCTCCTATGCTTTAAGCAGCATAGTGCATTAATGGTTGCCTTTTACCATCCTGATGTATGTACAGTTTACAGGCATGGGTGTGTCTCTGTCTTGTGAGTCGCCATTGTGTATTTTTCTTTCTTTTTCCTCCCTTCTGTTCTATCCAATAAAGAAAAGGCTACTATAGACTACGGCTACTGCATTGGAACGTCACGGCCAGTTGTTGCAGCGACTCTGCTGCTGTTGTTGCTGCTGTGGTGGTGGGCTGCTAGCCCTTTGCCTTTTATTGCGAAAATCCACACCAGCAGCAAAATCTGCACATGTCTCATTATCTGGGCCCCCAACAGCAGCAGCTGCTGCAGATGGCAGCAAATGGAGAGAAGACACGAAAGTCCCCCTTGCCCATGACCCCTTTTCTACTTCTGGTTGCTCCTGCTCTTGCAGGTGCTGATGCTGCAGTTGATGCTGCACCAACTTCTGCGGTTGCTGCTGCGCTTGACACTGCTTAGGCAAGCTGGGAATTGCTGCTCCCCCCTCTGACGCAAGTGGTTTGTGAGTTAAGCAGCGACCGTCAAGAGCAGCAGCAGCTGCTGCTGCTGCTCCGTGAGCCCAGTGTGCCTCCGCCATTACTGCTGCCGCTGCACCTGACCTGTTCACCGAACCCCAAACCTCTACTTCTCCACGCTCCTGCAAGGGCGGTACTCCATCTCCACTCCCAGGAGCAGATGCTGCAGAAGCTGCTGCTGCTGCTGCAGCAGTTGCTGCAGCTTCTTGGGGCTGCACACAAAACACAGAGACAGCACTCAGAAGTGGATAACAACAGCAGAAGGCTCAACACAAAACATCCTGCGGCAGCAGTCGGGAGGCCACGCCCGATTGCTGCAGCAGCAGCACAGCAGCGGAAGGCCTAACAAAACATGAGCAAAGAAGAAGTATCCAGTGGCTCACTTGCCGTATTCGCCACTGCCGCACTATAGGGCAATCGGCCGCCCACTGCTGGCAACGCTGTTGTTGTTGTTGTTGCTGTTGTTGCTGGTGTTGCTGCGCATGCTGTTGCTGCTGCGCATGTTGCTGCTGCTGCTGTTGCTGTGCCTGGGAGAATGCGGCAAATGCGGCAGAGTGAAGCAATCTCCGTTGCGTCATATGGAGCTGCGGAGCGGCTTCAAGGGGCACCACCTGTATGATAGTGGCGTCCGTAGCAGCAGCTGCTGCTGCTGGTGCTGCTGCTGCAGCTGTTGTTGCAGCAGAGCTTGCTGCTGCACTTGTTGCTGCTGTTCCTGACTGCCTAGAATACCCCAGCTGCAGCTGCTCTGCTGAAGCTTGTTGCGCTTGCTGCTCCTCTTGCTGCTGCGGCGGCGAAGTCCTCAGTTGATGCAGCGCAGCGGAGAGCATCTCAAGCCGGTGGTGCGACTGGAGCAGGACCTGCTGCTGCTGCTGTAGCTGCTGTTGTTGCTGTTGCTGCTGCTGCTGAAGCAGCAAAATGTGCTGTGATTGCTGTCCCTCAGCCGGAGTTGCAGGCACAAGGTGTACGTGCTGAGGAGCATCTCCAAGGGAGCCTGTACGCTGCTGCTGCTGCAGCTGCTGTTGTTGTGGCTGTTGCAGACATTGCTTTTGTTGCTGTTGTTGCTGTTCCTGCTGCTGTTGAGACATAATCAATGTTCTCGTGTTGTGGGCAGGTACAACAGAGGAGGCTATTTGCTGCGTTCCCAGCTGTTGCTGTTGCTGCAGAAGCAGCTGTTGATGGTGTTTTTGCTGCTGCTGTTGCTGGTGCAATTGTAGTTGCAGGACTTGCAGCTGCTGCTGCTTTAAATGCAGGTGCTGCAGCTGTTGCTGCCCATCTGCTGGATTCTCAAAACCGTGAGGCAGCAGCATTTGGTGCTGCACTCCCTGTTGCTGGTCTCGCTGTTGCTGCTGCTGCTGCACCCGGTTGTGTTGTGCCTGCCCTTTCTGCTGAGACTGCCGTTTCTGTCGTTGGGGTTTTGCTTTTGCCTGTTGCTCCGAAGCTTTCGACGCACCATTGGAGTGTACCGCCACATTGTTCTGCTGCTGCTGCTGCTGGTGTTGCTGCCCTGTGAAGCACGTCTGACTTTGCTGCTTCTGAACAATCGAAGAGTCAAGCTGCCGTTGCTGCTGCTGCTGCTCCTGCTGGAGGTGCTGTTGTTGCTGCACCTCCTGGTGCTGTTGCATGTACAGCGGGAGCTTCTGCTGTGGGTAAGGTTGCTGCTGCTGTAGCTGGCACTGCTGCACCAGCGGCAGCTGTTGCTGTTGCTGCCCAGGGTGAATAATGTGGGATTGCTGCATGTTATGAACCTGAGGGTGTGTCGTGATCAGCTGCTGCAGCGAAGGCTGCTGCTGCAATCGCTGCTGCAGCTTCTGCTGCAGCACCTGTTGCTGCAGCTCTTCGCAGGTAAGTTTGCTGCATGTTGTTGCCGCGGATGTTGTTTGCTCTCGAGCTCTATAGTTGAATTCCCTCAAGTTTGGGGGGGTTCTCTGCTGTCCAATGCCGTTTTCCAATGGCATGCTGCAGAAGGTGCTGCTGCTGCCGTTAACACAGATACTGCTGCTGGTAGTAGTGGTAGGTGTGGAGCTTTGTTGCTGCTGTTGCTGAGAATACAGCTGTCCTGCAGCAGCACCACCAACCGGCCCAACAAGTTTCTTTCCCAGAAGTTTTGTTGCTGCTGCTGCTGCAGCACTTTGCCTCCTCAGGTGGCCTCTCTTGGCAGGGTTCTTTTTCGTTGCTTCCGCAGCAGCGGCAGCAGTAGCAGTAGCAGCAGCAGGTGAAGGAGGAGCAGGAGCAAATTTGAAGCTCCGTGCTGATGTCACCCCCGCAGGTGGCGTACTACACGCACTGACTTCAAGGGACCCCCGAAGGCACTGACTGAGTTTGTCTGTGGTGCCGGATGATGCAATAACAGGAGGACAAGCCACCTGCTGCTGCTGATGGTGCTGGTGCTGTTGCTGCTGTTGTTGTTTGTGCTGGAGCATTAATCGCGTTGCGACTTCCATCTCTTCTTCGGTGTAAAGAAAGGGCAAATCGGGATACGGGTTCCAGCGTCTAATATATGCGCATTGGTGCTGCTCCTGCAGTTGTTGCTGCTGGTGAGACAGTGCGTGATGTGACCACGTGCAGTCCAGCGGATTCTGAGGCATTTGTTCCTGTTGCTTCTGCTTGTCAGTTTCACGCGGGAGCTCTGCGTGGGACACAGAGAGCTGCTTCGGTGAAGGCTGCTGCACCTGCAGCTCTTTCTGCAATTGCTGCAGTTGCTGTTGAGGCCGCAGCAGCTGCAGCACGGGGACGCTTGAAGGAGATGCTTTCATACTGAGTCTGCCTGTCGGAGGCAGCAGCAGATGCTGCTGCTGTTGAGCATCTGCTCCATCTGCTGCTTGCAGTGTCCTGTACTGGCATTGCTGCTGTGTCTGTCTCTGTTGCTGCTGCTGCTGCCCGCAGTGCTGCGGATGTGCTGGTAGGGGCAGCGATGGAAGCGCCCACCCATTGCTGCTGCTGCCAGCAGCAAAAACAGAGCTGCCCTGACTATTGGGGCAACCGATGAGCGTCCGATCAATGGGAGAAACTGCAGTGGTAGGAGCCAACGCCTGTTGCTGCTGCTGCTGTTGCTGCTTCTGCTGCTGTTGGGCGTTCCGTCGAACTCTGGGTTTGGGCTTCTTAGGGGGCTGCAACTGCAGTGCTGTTTGTTGCTGCAGCAACTGTTTCTCTTGAAGAGCCGCTTGAACGGCAGCTGCCTGCGCTGCCGCTATTTCCCCTGAAACTGCTTCTTCGTGAGACCTGAAGGTCGCCGCTGCTGTTGTTGTTGCTGTCGCTGAGAGAAGGGGAATTGGCGCTAGAGGTACAGATGCAGGGCTCTTCTTCGGTTGCGCAGCTTTGGCTCTGCTGCGGCGCTTCCGGGGAGCAGCTTTCGGCTTCACGTTTGCTGCTGCTGCTGACGCTGGGGCGCCTGCTACTCTTGCTGTTACCGTTGCTGCATGCAGTGCTGTTTGGGTTGCTGATGTTGCTGCTGCCGTTAGCGCTGGAAGCAGTGACAGGCCCAGCACCAAGTTCCCCGAGGACTCGGAGTGGATTGCACTTAAGCACTTGGAGGCAGCGTTAAGGTGAGCTGCTGGCTGCTGCTGCTGTTGCTGTTGCTGCTGGTGATACTGCTGCTCTTGAACAGACAAAAGCTGCGGGTGGTGGTGCTGTTGCTGGTGCTCCAGCTGGTGCTGCTGGTGCTGGGGCAAGATGTTTTGGTGCTGCTGTTGCTGCTGTTGCTGCCGTTGCTGTTCTTCGTGCAGCAGCCGCAGCTCGTGAGTGTGCGACAGCGGCAGTGGAGGTTGGTTATGATCCAAACTCTGCATTTGCGGGCTGTCTGTTGGGTGTTGCTGTTTCCGTGTGTGCTGGAGCTGGTGCTGCACCAGCAGCTGCAGCTGTTGTTGCTTAAATGTGTCATCTGATCGGGGCTGTTCAGCATGTCTCTGCATGGGCTGCGTGTGCATCTCTGTCTCACGTTTAGACAGCAGGAGTTTCTGCTGCTCAGTGCCTTCAGAGCCTCTGCTGGTCTCTAGGCCTCCCTGGGGCCGCCTGAGGCCCTCTGGTCCCAGCAGCTGCTCACAAGAGACAGCAAACGAGGCAAACAAGTTGACCTGAGGAGAAAGAGCGGGGACACAACTGGTTATTAAACTTCCCTTATTATGATCTAATGCCAGCAAGGAACAGATGGAGGCCCCCACCCGATAGGGGTATGTTCTGCCAAGGCAACGAAGTAGAGAACCCACACAGTGGGTGGCAGCGTTGGAGTGTACGCGCTGTTTGAAAGAAAAATCAAAGACACACTAAAATCGCCAGGATGGTTGACGAGGAGGAGATAAAAACTCTGTTAAAAACTCCACTGCCTGCTGCGTTTACCACCTTCAACGACGGGCACTGGGACCGTAGATAGCCTCAGAAAGGCAGCAGCTGCTGATGCTGCTGCATCTGACGGAGAAGTTACTGGCTTGTTGAAGCCTTTAAACTGCTGATGAGCATTCAAATGGTGCTTAGTTGAAACACATTAAAGACTCAATAACGTAGGCACTCCAGACCAGACCAGACCAGCGGACCGCGAGTGTCGCTGGAAGGCCCCCGCCCGACCTCAAAATTATCCCCACAACCAGAAACAAAACCACTTGAAATTAAAAGTAAAAGCCAACGGCAAATCTGTGGAATAAAAAAAGAGAAAACGGAGAATATACCCTCAGCGCTTGTCGGCGGTAATGACAGACCGCCGTTGTTACACCGCCGGCTGCAGCGCTGCATCTGAAGTCGTCTTTAAGCGATGTGTTTCAAGCTGGATTTCATTTCAGTGTTTATTAGTTAAATAGTCTTGGGCACTAAGTATCCAATTTAATACCTCCTTGGCTCCCGGCTTGCCGCTCGACCCACTGTCGAAGTGACCTGCCGCTGTACCCTCCCGCAGGTCGGAACAAACACGCAGCCCAGAACACTCAGCCCTAAGCCCCAAGCCCTTCTCTTTAACCGCAAACTTAAATGCAGTATTTACGCTTCAAAGTTTAAGCCTGACTTGAGAGGGCTGGGGCTGAACGAGCGAGTGGTCGAGCAGCAGCAGCACCATCAGCACTTCTCCGCAGCAGCAGCAACAGAAGGTAGCATATCAAAGAAGGATACTGCTTCAGCAGAAATACAGATGCCATGATTCAACATGTTTTGTATCTATTCTCTCCTTTTCACGGCATTATTCGAACTTCCTAGCTCATTGAGTTCCCCGTAGTTTGCTGAAAACAGTATTGAGGAATGCCGACGATACACCTGCGATAAATAAAAGGCTGTTGAAGCAACTTGTCGCTCTGAGCTTATTAGTTGGCTAGCTGCTTTTGAACCAGTCGGCACAAACGGATACAACATCGGAAGCAACACTTATAGTTGCGCCGAAATACGTGCAAGTAGTGCTGTAAAATAAACCTCCGCAAAGCCAAGGATTTTGCTTTGTGTGGAAGGCACCTGATAATAATACTTTTACTTGTTCTGAAACAAAGACGGATTTTCCGCTACTCATCAACTAGCTGAGAAACAGCAGCGCCGAAGAGGTGTTCGCACAGACACACAAGGGCTGAGGGTTAAGGGGAAGAAATGTCTCCAGAGGCAAAGGCGGATATTTGGAGAACGGCTCTTGCCAGTTCTCCGCTTTCCGCGAGACCCCTCCCTTACGCAGCAAGGAAACGGCTACCCTATTCAACAGCAGCTGCATGGGCCTGCGCTGCCCGTAACTACCACCGCTGACAAAAGGTAATTCCGCAACAGGAGAGGTTTGTCGGGTTGCGATGCGGCAAATCAGGGGCCCCTTTTAAGAATCCCCTGATACACAATAAAAGGGGGAAGCGGCGGCGGGCAATACATTGACACTACACAATCCGTCCCATGCCATCAAAGAGAGTGAGGGCAAAACTAGTGATAGGTAAACACATTGGTGCAGAAAACGGCTTTCCAAAACTAACTACAACTTAGCTTCCTCCCTCTCTGTGGAGTCGGCGGAAGCACCTTAGGCAATCATTCTCTTTTGGGCACCTCACCCTTTGGCTCTTCAGCCTTTTTCTCGTCGTATAAAGCTGTGCTTTTGCATTGGTCAACAGGCGCCAATCCTTAAATGCTAATGAAAAGTACTCGCCAATTGATGAAGCAAACAAAATTCGTGCCCCGCTCAGCCTTCACGGTCAAGGTAGCCAAGGGCCATACGCACCCTCACAAAACAAGTCGCGAACATGTCGTGTGGTTTTGTCACAGTTTTGTCATATTCATGCTATTCGCCCTGGCGAGAGGTGACAATTCCTTAATCATAGTATACACAAATGTCTAGATAATGAATTATGTCTCGCTGTCGGGTGTGAGGGGAAAAGAGACGGAAGGAGGGGTGTCGGGAGGAGCAATAACTATAATGCATCCTTACCGACAACAGCCCTTGAAAGGGTCCAGTTAGCGTCAACTGGCGCTCAAAGGGAAGGGGCGGGGGGACGGTACAAGAAGAAGTGGCTAAAAGAAATTGAGGTGGTACCGTGCATGGGCACATGCACGAAAGAACAACCATACTTTGCTGTATGCACTACCAGTGGGCGCAACTGCTGAACTCTTCGTCGGCCCACCCTAGCTGGACATTCTCCTGCCAGCAAGTAGAAATGCACACAAAATAGGCTTCAAATACACCATTTTCGACTAATTTTGGTTCTGCCGTCCTGTCCTGGTGAAAATTAAACCAACATCTGGACGACATATATAAATTGATCTACTCCTGCATACAACAGAATCTCAATTCAGTCGATGGAGGTGTAGACCCGAGCAGTGACGCTGGTCCCATCTCAGCAACATTCAGAAACCAACCAGGTTTCAGTTTCAGAGAGGAGGTATTGATCTTCTCATCAAGTGTTATAACCTTTTAATTGCAAATGAATCATCATACACGCAGGGCAAGTGAGCCTTTTCGGGGCTGCATGCGTAGAAGGCCAGCATGTTCCCGCACTCCCCAACTCCTTCGGCACCTTCTCGATTCTGCCTGTTTTGCTGTTATCGTCCAACCCAAAAATAAACATTTGCCTTTTCCTAATATTAGTTGGGGGGAGTTGACTCCCTATTCAACCGGAAGACGTCGTTTGGCCTGCGGCCGACATCGGCGGCATAACACCATCCCGCTCGCTGCACAGTTCCGTTCCGTTCTGTATGCCCTTGTTCACTTTTCTTTCACTCACTCGTCAAGATGTTTTTTCCAGGAATGCTAAGGGAAGCTCCTCAGGAGTACATTTCCCCTAAGTGGCGCGCCGCCCTGCGCATTGTCGGTTTCGTTGCCAGTTGCATTCTCATTGCCAAGTACGGGGAGTTTGCAGACATGCCAGAAAACAGCAAACTGGGATAGATTTACTTCATGTGAACCGCATACAAGCCCTTTAAACTGCACCAGGAGCACGCAAAGCCAACACCGTTAGCTGTTGCCGACGATCGAGCAGCGGCAGCAGCAGCTTACGGTGCAAAGGAAGACGTCAATGTTTCAAGAGGTGCAGCTGCAAGTGCAGTTGCATCTTAAATGCACACGCACTGCTGTGGCGTTATCCAAGTTGTTCCCATCCTCCTCAGAGCGGAGCGAGAAACAGCAGCAGCAGCAGCAGGGAATGCGGCGGCCAGAAGATGCTGCAGCGGCTTGCACCTACGAATACGGGGTTTATTGCTTCTGAACTCGTAGCCTCGCCATTTCCGGAGTACATACTGTAAAATATATATATTATGTGCCATATATACCTATTTGGCACACACTGAATATTCCTGTATGCAATATACATACAGTGGGGCATACTATTGGACAGAACAAGCGCACCTTTATGGATATTGCTCCAACTTTAGCTGCTGAGCTGTTGACAGCCGCTGCTGTCACAAGGCACCACACTGCAGGGCAATGGTTTTGGCGCTGCGAGGTGTCCTTGCTGCAGCTGGGAGGTGCTGCTACAGCAGCACGGCGGCTCTGACGCAGTGCGGTGCGTGTTTTGCTTAACCAGATCGTTTCAAAAAATTGAAAATCTATCTTGTTGTACACAAGTTAAAAAAAGTGGGGGGAAAGTGAAGCAAAATCGATCATATAGGCCCTATGCCGCAGAGCCCGCTGCCGCGCGCAGGCGCAGACACTAGCAGCTGGAGCAGCTTCTGTTGCAACAACACCAGTAAATCACGTTGCTTTTGCTACAGTGTATTTGAAGCGTTCATGCACGAGCCGCTGAAGGGTCTCCCTTGCGGCTCCCGTCCCTCTGTGCTGAATACAGCCAAATCACCGGTATCTGCAAAAGGCTACGTCTTTACTGCATCTGCTGTGGCTCCATTTGCTGCAGCTGCATATGCTAGTGCTGATTCTTCTAGAGCTGCATTTGCTGCAGAAGCAAATGCCTCCGAAGCATCTGCCTCAGCTGCACCTGCTGCAGCATCATCTGTTGCTGCATCAGCACTAACTGGCTCTGCCGTTGCTCCTTCTATGCTATTCGCTGCTGCTTCTACCGGTGAATACCTGTTGGTTGCTGCTGCTGCTGGTAGAGCTTCACACGCTCCTGCACCTTCTGCTGCCGTGTTGTCCGCTCCTGCAGCTGGTGGTGCTGCTTCTGCTTCCAGCTCAGCAGCAACAGCCCCGCCTGCCTGAATTCCGGCTGCTGCTGACATTGCCGCTACTGCTGCTGACTCCGCTTCTGCCTCCGTTACTATTGACATCCCCTGCCCATGAGCACTTTCCGAGGATCTGGAGAAGGAAGGAAGGCCTTCAGTAGCAGCGGCAGCAGCAGCAGCAGGAGTTTCGCAGGCAGTTGTTGCATCAACTGGAGCAGCGGCAGCACTAAAGCCCTCTACTGTTGCTACAAAGCCGCCGCTGCCATCGGCGCTTCTGTCTTCTGTGGCCGCTTGGGTCTCTATTTGCTCAGGGGCGGTCTCGAATGCTGCTGCTGCTGTCAGTTCTCCACAACTTGCCGCTGCCACTGCATTACTTATTTCTTCTGCTGCTTCAACACATGCTGCTGCCGCTGATGCCCCAGCAACATTTGCTGTCGCTAAGTCAGTTGGCGTTCCTGCTGCTGCATCAGTTGATACTGAAAGTACTGCATCAGCTGACTCCGCCAATTCTACAGCTGCAGCCGCTGGTGCTGCATCGGCTGTTACTGCGTCATTTGCCATTGCTGCATATGCAGCAGGAGCTGCTTCTGGACCTGCATCTGCTGGTGTTGCATCACTCGTTGCCACTGCAGAACCTGTATCTGCTTTTGTTGTTGCAGCGGCATCGCTCGTTGCTGCATGCTCGACGGTTGGTGTACGCGTGTCTGCAGCGACAGCAGCGGCCGCAGAGGCGCCGTTAGTTTCTGTTGTTGCCTCAACATGGAAACTCTGCTGTTGTTGTTGCTGCTGTTCCTTCTTGTAAACTCTTTCTGCAGCAAGGACTTTGGTGAGGAGTTCAGCTTGCTGCCGGGGCCGGAGTCTGCTGGGGAGCTGCTGCTGCCGTACGCAGACGGAAAATGCCTTGAAAAGGCGCTCGAACTGAAGAGGATCTGAAGCCCTCTGCGTCCTGGAAATGGCCCTGTGAATCGCGGTGAAGACGGGAAAGGTGAAACAAGCAGAAGCGCCTGCCAGCTCCACCCCACACACCCGCAGCAAATCCTTTAGCAACAGCTCCAAGGCTATCGAACCAACTTCAAGCAGCCGGCGCTCAGAAGCGCACAAACGCCGCGAAGGAAAACCGTCACCTGATCCTGCAGCTGCTGCATAGGAGGCAGCATCCTGCACCACAAAAAGGCAACACAGAGGCGGATACAACAATGAAGTCCAGCGACATGCAACGACAGAACCAAAGACTGAGGTCCTTGGTTCTGTACACAGGCACACAAAAAGAGTAATCCAGCTGAGGACACAACCAAACAAACAGAAAACAGGCAAATAACAAAACACACAAAAAACCACACTGAGCAAAAGAAATGCCATTTGGGGAGCAGAGCCAAGCAGCACCACACAAATGCGCAACTAAGAGAACTACACCCACAACTGCTCACCGCCTCGGCCACAAACGGCAGACCGCTCCTAAACATATCCCACGGATCAGAGCCACTGTCATCTCCCTCTGCGGCTCGTCTCTGCCTGCAGTGCACCAGCTGGGGACCCCCATCTCTTTGTCTCCGCCGTCTGCGAGGTCCCCCGACTCCACCCAAAACGTCAGCGTACCCGTCCTCTCCTTCGTGCGGCGAATAGCCGCCCCACCCATCCCCGGGGATGCCACCAATACCCGGCCCCCCCTGGGATTGCCCTCCGTCACCCGGGAGGCCTCCGGGGATCCCAGGGCCTCCCATACCCCCAGGGGGCTCATAAAGGAGAGGGCAGTTAGGTACAGGAAGCCCCTCTAACTTCAAAGAAGCAAGCCTCGCAGATATTGCCATTCGGCGTGCCTCTGCAAAGCCGAAACGATTTGAAGAGAAGACGAGTAGCTGCCTCTTCGGACCCGCTGTTGTGCAGGTCCAGGACTTGGTGTGTGAGTTGAACCAAACTCCTTTGGGTACTGAAGAAGAAAAGAGAGGCAAGCAAACGGAAGGCAAACACATACACATACAGTGAAAGCTCTACCAGACGCACCAAGAACCAGCCGCCCCAACACAGGTAAGAAGCACAGAAGCTCCTTCCAAGCAACACAAGCACACCCCCCTACACAACGTTACACCAATGCAAAGGGAGGTAAAGATAGAGAAAGCCTATGAAGGCGCAGTTCCAAGCCATAAGCAACAAACCCTCAACCCTAAACACAGACCAAATCGAACCGGGAAACCCGCCATGGCAGTGTTGCCCTGCGGCAGCTTCACGTGTAGCGGAACAGCAGGAGGACAGTGCAGCATGGAGGCAACCTGGTTATATGCCTCACCTCCATGGAGCAAAGAGTCTGTCCTGGGTCGTTCGTAAGCACCTCCCCCGCTCGTGCGGGTCACAGGTTTCATGTTGCCATTGCCGCTGTTGCTGTTGCCGTAGGGGCCCTCACTGCCTCGTTGGGGGCCCCGCTCCTCAGGCCCCCCGAAGCCGGGGCAAAGCCCGCTCGCCGCTGCCTCAGCTCCCCGGCCTAACACACACCCCAACAAACACCACCACCCCAATGATAAAGCCCTAACCAAGGAAAGCAGACTGCTGTTCGTGCTTGTGCTGCTACTGGCGCAGGTGGTGTAGCTGCCGCTGTAACTTACACGAAAGAACGCGACGCCGCTTAGATCGTTCAGCGAGTCCTCCAGCATGCTGCAGAGACGGGAAGACACAACTGGCACTGAATTTTCGAAACGAATGCAAGTCCCACAGGTCGAGTTGCTGCTCAGCATCAGCACTGGCAGACAACATCAGCAGCATTAACATTGTCACCAGCAGCAACAACAGCAGGAGTTGTGCGTACAGAGCCTTCATCTGTTCGTGTATCAGTGGCTGAGTCAACTGCTTCGTCCTCTTCCCCCTCTGCTTGCTGCATAGCGGCAACGTCCAAATCTGGGGCCTTTGAGATTCTTCCAGGAGAAGATGCGCGAATGACATTTTGCTGCTGCTGCTGCTTCCTGGACGATGTGGTTCTGCTTCTCCGATTGCCTCCTGCTGCAGCAGGGGAAGCGCCTGCAGCTTGCCCCTTTGGTGTAGGGGCAGCAAACATATCTTGTGAGGGGGTCGCCGAAGGCCCCCCTCCGCCCCCCGCTGCTTGGGCCCTGTCGGCCTCCTTACAGTTGACAGCCATTTGGAAAGCCCTTTCATGCCCGTACCGTTTTGAACTAAACACTGCAGGGAAAAAGGCACAGAGAAAAAAGCAGCACGGTGCGAACGCTGCTGCGTCTGGTGTAGGATCTTCTGCAGCTGCTCTGCACTCGATGCTGTGATCGCTGCAGCAGCTGAGGTTGCAATGCGACTTCCCGCCAGACGTGCAGCTATAGGCGTTATACAGTAGCAACCCCCAAAGCTGCTGTAAATGCAACAACACCAACAACAGCAGCAACGCCTACCATGCAGCCTCTTGCCTACTCCTGAAACGCAAGCTAGCCAGCAGCCGGTGGATCGGTTGAACCAAACACCCCGGGGGACTTTAGAGGGAAGGGAGGCGTGGTGCCCAACCCCTGGGTCTTCTCCTTCAGCTGTTTCTGCTGCTGCCGCTGCTGCTGTTGCTGCTGCAGGCCCAGACTCAGCTGGTAGGGAGTGCAGCGAGGTAGAGAGTGGCGCTGCTCCTTCGCCTTTAATTCGGCTGTTATTGACGTACTCTGACTCCGCTGCTTCTGGAGGGTCGTGTGAAATTGGGGTGCTGCTGCTGCTGCTGCTGCTGTTGCTACTGCTGTTCAGAGCAGGCCCGTGGTGCTTTATTGATGCGTCAGAGGCTGCTGGTACCCCTGAGGCACCCGCTCTTTGCTCCTCCTGCTGCTGCTCATTCTGCAGCAGCAGCAGCATCTGCTGCTGTTCGCTTCGATTGTCCAGGAAAGAGGAGCCCTGCCCAGAACTAAGTGCTGCAGTGGCCTGCTCCTGCACGACTTGCTGCAGCAGCTCCTGTTGTTGAAGCTCTTGCTGCTGTTGCTGCTGCAGCTCCCGTAGCTCATGAGGTTCCTGTCGCTGTACCAATTCGTGCTGCTGCAGCATCCCTTGTTGTTGCAGAAGTTTCTGGTGCTGCAACAGTTCCTGCTGCTTCAGCAACTCTTGCTGCTGTAGCAACTGCCTCGCCAGCTGTTCTTCTGCTTCTCGCTGGCTCTGTTGTTCTCGCAGCAGCTGTTGGCTAAGTATGTGTTGCAGTTGCTGCTGCTGCAGCTGCTGCTGTTGCTGCTGCTGCAGCTGCTGCAGCTGCAAATGGTGTTGTAGAACCTGTGGGTTGGTGGAATGTTGCAGAGGCGAGTGCTGCTGGATCAGAAGCTGCTGCCTGAGCTGCTGTTCGTGTATCTGCTGCTGCTGCGCTTGCTGCTGTTGCAGCAGCAGTAGCTGGTGCTGTCGCCGCTGCTTGAGAAACTCGAGCTGTTGAAGCTCTGCTGCATGCTGCTGCTGAACAGCAGTAGCGTTGACTTGGGATGACCAGGGGGCTGCTGCTGTAAGGCAGTTCTGCCCCTCAGAATCCACAAGCCATAGAGTAGAGGATGCAGCAGCTGGCGCTGCTGCTGCTGTTGCAACGCCTAAGGCCAACCCGGCGTTTCCTGCTGCTGCGGTGGTGGCTGGAAACGTCTCCCCTAAGACACCAAAGCTGGTATGCATTCCCCCAGTAGCGACTTGGCGCTGCGACTGCGCAGCGTCGTCTTTCATGTCGCCACACGAACCCCAAGCCCTATAAACTCCTACACTGCTCTGGGAGGTACTACATGCGCTGACTGCTCCTAGCTAAAGGCAACCCCGCCGAGACCGCCAGGGTAGGCAGGAGGAAACAGAATTTTACCGTTTCTTTAACTAATTGACTAAACTGCACAAGACGCTTTAGCGTGGGGCCTTCCGTACCACAGCGGCCGCTGCTGCTGCTGCTGCTGCTGCGGGGAGGGTTCACACGCTGCAGCAACAGACTCACAAAGGACTAGAAATGCCACTCAAGGAAGCCAAAAACTGGCAAAATTAAAGCGGAGTTAAAACGAAAGGGGAAACATAATGGGATCGTGAACTAGGCAGGACCTGTTAGCCATCGCTACTGTGAAGATAGCCCGTGGTGCTGCTGCTGCTGCCGCTACTGCTGCTGCTCATGGAGCAGCAGCAAATAACGTTCCCTAGCCTTTTATGCCCTTATAATACCAATATTCCTAAAAAAAACTGCCAAGTATATAAAGCAGCAGAAAAAGAAAGAATGCAATCAACTTTAACCGTGTCATTCTGCGGGGGCAAAGCAAGCCACGGACTCTAACCTGTACGTTGTGTACGTACAACGGAGGATGGCCGTCTAAATATTACTTTCCTATACAGGGAGCTTGCTTGCAAATGGTACATTCAAATTGTCGGTGACTAGGTGCGAAAAGGCTTTGTCGCCAGTTTCTGTGGCCTTTAAGCCGATATCTGTTCTATCTCAATCCGTCTTAAAGTCGGTTAATGTATTTTCTTGTACTGGCGTTTAGGCTTCAAACTGATGATCCACTAACTGATTAAGAATTGTACGCACTGTTTGTACATGGATCAAGAAGTGACTTGCCAAAGTTTCTTGTCGGTGTGCCTTGCAGTATTGTAGTGTAGCATTCTGTGCGTTATGCTGGCGAGTCCGTCTGAAGTGAGCACACAAACCCTTACCCAGCCCTAGTAGATTACGGGTATTCAAGCAAACTTCTTCAACAATTGTCTACAGTGTTCATGCATACAGTCACGAAAAATTGATTGTGCTTGCTTGTGGGGCTGTATTGCACCTTGCGTTGAGGCAAGGTGCGTTGGAACTGATGGTTTACCACTTCCTCTCCAGCAACAACAGGCGCATGAGCCGCGCCGTTTGCTGAGTTTTTTGATTCAGTTGCACACAATACTGCAAGGATAGGATCTATGGCCAGGTGTTACACTTGGTAGCACCGCATAGCCCACCGGAAAAAGGTGCTAACAACGGACCTATCCACACAGCAGGACGGCCAGCTGCATAGCCATGATTGGTATTGAAGGCGCCAAAAATACCAATATATACATGTTCCCTACATGTTCGTTCAAACTCATCAGTTCGGTTGCCTTGCAAAGTGGAAATTCATAGGAATATGCCGTCTGGTGCAACGGAAAATGTCCTTACAACAGAAATAATTCAGGGAGAATGCAAAGGAAAGGGGGTGGGATTCGGAGCAGGCAGGCTACAGGGACTATGGATGTTGGGTCTGCTAGCCACTAGCCACTACCGGAGAGAAATGCAAAGTGAAAACCAACAGCAGCGGGGGATGTCGGTACTCAGAAGTCCAGGAGGAATTGTCGGGGGGCTCACCTGATTCTCTCCAACAAACACAGTCGCGTAATTTGACGTTGCAGACCCTTGTAAAAGGTAAAGGAGTTGGTGAAGGAAGACATGGAGAGGCGTCGCCAGGCAACCAAACAAAGCTATCAGGGAAAAGCCAGGGTCCCCCATGCAACGTGCAGCACAGTGATCCGGCTACAACAAACGACAGCCGCATCTTCAGACCCTCCTCGGGATAACTCCGTGCTTATTCGTTTTCGCATTAATGAACGGGAGTTGCTAGTGCTCCTCTTGACAAGGTGCGAAGTGGATCTGGTACCTGCTACTGCTAGAAGATACACTCTTCCAGTGCATTCATTGGCACATTCACACTACACTTCGCGGATGGTAGGCAGGAAACGTAAATTGGCAGGGTTGTTGGCATAAAATGAGCTATGGATTCAAAAGTGGGTCATGTATCCATGGTACTGGACCTTCACGTTAGACAGGTTTACCATGATATAATCATAGGCATGCCTTGGGTGACACAATTGAAGGCGTTCACGCACTTGCATGATGACATCGTCGATGTTTACGTGCCGCGCAGCAATGACACAGTGCTTATTTCAGAAGCTCCAATTGCATATGCATCCCCAATGGTAAGCGGAGCAGAAACAGTACAAAAAATGAGAAAATGACAGACACCAGAAGGTACGGAGGCCGACAACTCAGGACAAGGGCGCCTCTGATAGCTACGGAAGTCAGCACCACCGCCCAGTAAACCACAGTGGAACGTAGCAGGGAGAAGCACAACACAGCAACCTCAGACCCTGCAGGAGAAAGTAATAGCAGGGTTGGCGACAAGCTAATAAGAGTTGTAGAGGCACGACTGTGAGACTCCACAGCCAGGGCCACAAGAGCGTGCAAAGGGGCCCGGACACCATTAATAAAGGGGCACTTGACTACCACCAACGAAAGTAGGACAAGACCTTAGAGGGCGGGGCCACTCAAGAGCCACTGTGAACTGTACAAACTAGGTACTTAGGTGACGTGTAAAAGTCAACGGAGGCGGGGGTGAGAAGATTTCCCACGAAATGCGAAAGCTGGACAAATCCTCGAAGTGGGGAAGCTGTAGTGCAGAAGCACTACAATGGTACTCTGGCTGATCCACCAGGGACCTACCCGTAAGGCAAAAACATAAGTGAAATACTGTTAGCAAAAACTGTGAAGCACTGTACTGTAAGTAAAGCTATCAGATAAAGACTGCCCCGCAAACTCCCAGAATCGGGAACTAGCCCAAGACCGCTTTGACCCTTCAACAACAAGAAGACACCATGGAGCAGTGCAACCATATTCAGGGGCAAAACAATGACGTGATTGCGCGAGCTGAAAGGCTGAAACGTTGACCGTACTCTGTTCGACTCTGGTAACCATGTCTGAGTTTGGCTCATGAAGCGATCGTTGGCATTTGCAACCATTGGTACACCAACGAAAGTGTCCAACAATCTCCTGTATACAGCTAAGAAGGCTTGTTTGTCCTTGCATGTGGCTCCCAATGTTGCAACAAGCTGCTTTTGAACTACGTGCGGGCGGCCGTCGCTCCCTCAGTTCTGCGCTCTTGGGTCGCTGGGCCCAGGACTTCTCGATCCTGAGGACGGGTGTCATATGCTTCTAATAAAGTCTTGTCTCCATGATTTTGATTGCATTACAGCTCGCAATAGTCCTCCCACAAGAATGGGTTCTGGCCTCTGCAGTGCTCGGAACTAAGTTTTGAAATGTGATCTCCGGGCAAATAGACACTGACGCAGCTCCGAATGGGCCGAATAAGGGAAACGTTACCCTCATTTAACGTTAAGTCTTTATACGAGCAATGATTCTTGCAATATAGTTCAGGTACCACTTGGAGCTTCCTGGCAATGGCATTTGGAGTTGTTACATCTCAAATCTGCAGGAGGCTCCTTATGGGGCAAATTGCAGGTGGGGAATAATATGTCGACTAACAATATATGTGGCTTCGGAAATAGAATACAAAGGTCTGACGAGACTGAGATTCGGGACAGGGCACTCTCAGGTTTTCACTGCCTGGCTCGATTCGCAACCGCACTGCTTGCCAGTTGCAGCACGAGTAGGCGTGCATGCGGGAAAGTGTGGAAGCCGGTACTTTGTATAGTAAAGTTAAGACGTTAGGAGGTAAATACAAATAACAAAGTTGATTGAAGCGAAAATTACTGGAATCTACGTAGATTTACTGTGGTTTCACTGCGGCGGGGTTGGGGCAGGCAGGTACGGGCGGCGGCAAGCAGCAATTTTGTTCCACACTACTCAACAGCATCCAATGTGATTTTGACCTACCGAAAAATCGCCACATAAATTCAAATTCATATTCTTTTAGACGTGTTCCTTTGGAAATAGGAGCCTACTCACCAGCATCTCTCCACAATGGGAGCAGTGAAGCTCCGTATGTCCCTCTGGGCAGGACTCGCAGCTCTGGCAGCCGCGAGTTCAGATGAAACCGGGGAAATTTTATCATATCAACGTTCGGCAGAACCCATTATGAGGCGTCAATTCTTGGGACCGCCAGGACCCTCTCCGGTTCGAGGAAATCGTTCCTCAGCTATCCTCGTGACTGGCCAGCTCGTGGTTGCAGCAACTGCTCTTTTATTTATCGTCCTTCTATGCTTCAACAACATTTCAGGCTCCAGGAAAGGGCCACGCACACTAGTGAAACGAAGACTGCAGGAGGACGACGAGAAGGCCTGCGCAGTGAGTTTCCACAAGATACCATTCGATTCAGACCTGGATTGCTGCGGAGATATGCGGATTCGGCCGATCTCCTAAAGGACACGGACAGCCCAAGTCTTCACCATGAACCAAAAGAAGTCCCTCTCTAGCGTTGTTCGTGCAATGTGTGAGGTTGGATGGAGCGGCATAAATATGCTTACAAAGGTGCGAAGCCAAGGCTGGAGAGCGCATCGCGCGTCTGCTCTGTTTGTATACATAACGTGGGCGAAGGCATGGGCCACTGACCTGGAAAACGTTAGACTAATGACCCAGCATCGGACTCTGCATACGATTAGATGGAAACAGAAAGTGCTGCAACACTCCACAAGTGACGGGTGCTGAGTTCCTCTTTGCAGAGCGACTTGCGGAGCAACCAATGTGTCACCTCAACGCCAGATATGCAACAAGTCTCCTGCAGGTAGGAAGGGCCCTCCGTCCTGCGTGAGTACAGGATCAGCAGGAGGACTAGTTTGAGCTGAAAATTGATGTATTCGTGGCACGTGCTAAGCAGTTTCCTGAGGTATGTGAGATATAGGTGAAGTGGAAGCTCAGTAGTCTGATTGGCTTGCTCTGGTTAAGGTTCAGTGTTCCACTCAATGCGCTGGCGTGACACAGGATTGTGTGGCCGCACGCATGGGTGTGACTG